CAAAATGTAAATTTTGAATATATTAGAATTAAAATTTACTTTTAGATTAAATAATAATTTATAGATTTCTTGATATTAATTATATTTAATATATTTCGTCGTGATGTCAGMACGATRAAACATRTAATTCCATAAGCTTCAAATTAATATATAAATATACACATTATATAGGCTCTGGGGGGGATATATCCCCCTCATCCTCCCTTAATTACGCCCCTGTATCGTTAGGTTTCGAATTAGTCATAATTAATTTGGTACAAAAATATTTTTAAAATGCTCAAATATTTTTGGTTGTTTTTTTCACTTGACTAAAAATTTTAGAAAAAACATGGGTGAACTTCATTTGCTTTMAAAATATGCCAACGATTCAGAATTTAGTATAGCAACTAAAATGATTATTTCACAAGAATTAGTGTGTATAAATGATCTTGATAATGAAATATATGTACTTTCAAATTATTTACCTGAGGAACTACACTCAATGTTGGAATGGTTCGAAGATAATTATATCAGTAGAATGAATCGTAATAATCGAAATCTAAGAAAACCTCGATTTGCACATCAAACGTGGAATTTATATCAACGTGATTTAAATTATCAGAACAAAACAATTAATAATCATGCAGAGACAGCGAATCGTAGGCTGAATATTGAAATGGGATGTGATCACCCTACGTTATGGTTATTTATAATAAATTTGAAAAAAATTCAAGCCTGTCGGGATATATATTACAACCAGCTTGAAGCAGGGAGAAATTCCACCAAAAAAATAAAATAATATTGTGATACGGATAATATGCTGTTAAAAATAGTTCAAGATTATAAATTATAATAACCGAGATATTTTATCATATTTAAAAGGTATTTCTTTAAATATATCTTTAAAGTAAATAATAATATATTTCTATGTTCAGTAAAAATTTAAAAAAATTTTATTCAGTGTAACGTAATTTTTTTATTTATATTTTAAACATAATTTTAGACAAAGAATTTTTTTTGGTAATTTTAATAAATATATTTATAAGTGTAATTTTTTCACGCCAAAACAGTCATACGTCCAAAATTCTCACACCAAAAAGGCCATATGTCCAAACGGTCACGTCCAAATGTCTTAGACCCTGTATAATATCATTCTCGCGTGATGAAAGATTAAAATTTATAAATTTAAAATATTTTAATGTCTGAAAAAATCAAATACAAATCCATACAGAGTTCTTTTAATCTAGTAATAATGGAACTTTTTTTTAAGTTCAGACTAAGTCCTTACTCATTTTGTCATGGTTGAAAAGAAAATAATAATACTTTGATTCAAAATTATTTTTAAATAAACTATTATCTTTCTTTGTATTAAAACTCAAACAACTTATTATAAACGTTTCAAAATACGGAGACTAAAATAATATAATAAAATGTTAACATATTAYATGAAATATAATTTATTATTAATTTGGATATTTTTCATTTAGCCAACGTTTTACAAATATTTTTCTTTTATCTCTACGACTTTACTGGATATAATATTCTTATTTTTATATTTATTTCATACTTTTTTCAGTTATATCACATTTGTGTAAGTGTATTTCAAAATGTTTGGCCCATACTTAATCCTTGTTCAAACGTGTCTTCAAATGTATTATGATAAACTTTCTTGCGTATTTTGAAGTAGATTTAGTTATGTCTTGTACACTTGTTTGAAGTACACAAATATCCCATTTTAAGTTCCCTTAAAATAATCAAATTTTTTTTTTAAATTTCTTTTGAACCATTTTTTTTTTTATTGGACTACAATAATATTATGTTTGCTATACACGAACTGAAACATATATTAAAATATTATGGTGCCTCAAGGGAAAATGATTCTCATAGATTAAAAATAAAACAATTAAAAATACAATATGTTATGATACATCGCGTATAATTTTTAGAGTAAATTATAAATAAGTATGATTTTTGGTTTTGAATTTAAGTTTTTTGAGCGACATAAAAAGTTTAGTAAGCCGTACGTTGAGTATGGCTATTATAGCCGGACAAAATGCGTCCWACGTGCACACTCATATATTTCTTATAATGCTATTATTATTACTTGTTTGAATTTTTTGTGTTTTTGAGCGGAACGTTTCAGAAATAAAAACGATATTATAAAACCCTTGAACTGTGATAAAACGAGTTTAAAAAAGTTGACTAAATAAACTTTTAAAAGTTTTATCCTCAAGGAAACTATCAAGAAAAAAAACAGGTATAAATATTTAAGTAAAACGTTTTTATGTATTTAGATTGGAATTAATTCAAGTTTTTAACAGGTAAATTCGGCTTTTATTTCTTAAAAAAACAAACGAGAAAATAAAAGCAGCTTTAACTATAAATATCGCTTTTCACCATCTATAGCTATTGATACTGGAAAACATTTTTTATTTTTTAACTTATTTCAAAAATATAATATGGTTTATGGTAGTTTGAATTTAACTTGGTGTGTATAAACAATAACTATTTTACTATATATTATATTATATGCGGATTTTTTTTTTTTGTACTCGAAATAAAATACAAAATTAGAACGATAAGATCTATTTGCCGAATAAACAACTACAAAAACATAATATTGATTCAGATTCAAAGGTGACAATAGCAATATGTTGAGATCATAATGATATACTTAAACATTTATAACCTATACCTACCGTTTGATGCATATAATAATATTATATAATACATATGAATCGCGGAATTATACGTATTGCTTGAAATTATATTATTATTCATACGGTTTTGAATGAAAAATGTACTGCATATTATCTTTGTGGCTATATTACGTTATATGCTATTCTATAATGTCGTGCAATATGCAACAGCCCGGAGTTTTAGTACAATTTCAGTTTGTTGTTGATGATCCGATTCAAAACACTCGCCCGTAACTGGTTTGTAGATGAGAAAATTCGTGAGGAAAACAACACACACCAAAAATAAAAAAAATTGAAAACTTTTTTTACGGGTGTACGTATTATTGTTGCGTGTTGTATATTGAACAGAGTGTATAATATAGTCGTAGTGAGGCGCAGATAGGGTGAAAAAAAATCCTATTAAGTGGAAAGTCATKGCTGCGTGTAGCGTGTAGAATACATGCAAAAACAAAACGGTGAATAAAAAGCTAACGATTTGGCCGCACCGACTTCTGTACGACAAGAAGCTCTTCTCCTCGATTGTATATACACGCCGTCGAGTAATCACTAATTTACATAAGTTTAACGTACAATCGTGTTCTACCCCTCCTGCGGGCCCACTCGGCCCACGCATCCCTTATTTCGTTCGGTCCGGGAGACCCCGTGCAAAATATATCCCGCGAACAAGTCATCACCTTCTTACGATCATTCGGGGAGGTTTTCTTTTCTCGTCCCGTACAACTGCTATTGCATACCTAATGACATTATACGGCCGACGAAATTGGKGGGGAGGCAACGTGTGCGGGTGTAAGGCAAGGGTGGCGTGCTCAGCGAGTATTATGTTTATATATATACCTATAGTCCTGTGCAAAATCCACTCCAGTCTGAAAACAAACGACTCGAAAAAAAACCTCCGAACGAACTAAGTACACACACACACACACACATATATATATATATAAACGAGCGAAATAAAAGAATAACGAAATAGACAAAACGTTAACAGAATCACGATTGGATCGAAGCTCTCTTTCTGTTTTTCGATTTTTATACGTGCATAATATGTGTACGGGCTTATACGTTTATCTTTTTCTCTCTGTTGCACACACACGTTTGTTTCACGCAGTTTTTTCTAGTATTTTCGTATTTTTTTTCTATTATAATTTTTTTTTATATCAACCTTTTCGACGAACAGAAACAATTACACGTTTATTCCTTTCTTCCTCCGAGCGTTTCTAAAGCAATCGACCATTACGCAACACACGCGCACACCAGCGATTTAACAATTTAACTCCTCGACGACACTCGTCAATTCATACTCGTATATATATATATAATGTATCTTTCCGACGAATGTAAAACGATTTTCGCATTCTGTACGCCGGGCTTTTGTTTTCCAAGACCCTGTGGGCTGATATACGATATACACACAATAATATATTACCGCGAGTTTGGCCGGTTGTAAACGTTAAGTGYGAAATGATTTGAATTACATCGGGACATATTAATTTTTTTTATTTCCATGTATATTGCTATTATAATACACTTTTTTCCATGTCATTATCGACTCGAGCATAAACCAGCCATAGTATATTCATCCCGACATCCCGTCATTACGCTTAAAAGTATATACTCTTGTATACAGTAAGTATTTTATGTTATAATATAACATGCGTACAATTCACTTCCTGTTTCATATATTAGTATTGGTTTTGAAAATTAAATTCGCTTCGAAACCTGTAGTGACATTTGTCGCTTAAAAAGTCACGTTATAAATCTCCAGATCTACATATTATGGCTTTCCAAACTTTTCAAATTATAATGCAAAAATTATATAACATATATACAAATTTAAAACATATAATAATATAATACTTTGTTTTCCATTTAGAATCGTTTTAAAATTTATTTCATACGAATAAAGAACTTTTTGAAATATATGATTTGGAATTATTTATTATGAAATCTGCATCGCGTGTTTTTTATTTTTGAACTATTTTGAAAACATTTTGTAGAGAAAAATTAAAACGAATATTACATTTAAAAATATTATATTAATCTTAAAATTGTATAGTAAAATCGATGGTAGTTATCTGTATTAAAAAAAAAAGAAAATATCAACTGGAAATAATATTTTTAAAGCATATTTTCACACATTTTCTATTCAATGTTATTTAATKACTTAATATAGTTGATAATTATTTGAAAACGCGTACAATCATATTCATTAAAACAATACCTACTTGAATAATGAGAATGCTGTTTATAATATCTTCAAACAATAGTAATATGTTTAAGACTTCTAAGATATGTTCAAAATTAATAACAAAACGTTTATTTATAATAATAATATGTTTATAAATGGATTATAGATGGTTCAACAARATTCCATGATAAAATATATACTTAGTAATAAAGATTTTATACTGAATCGTTAAACACACACATTACGTCGTATTATAAATGTATATAAAGAATATTGTAATCTCTGTCAGTCTTCAACGAGCAACAAAAACGAGTTTTTATTTTATARTGACCTTACTTCAGTAAGTATTGGTCTGCTMCGTAGCTGTTGTAGCAGTACTATGTAGAGTGTTCGGATTGAATTTAGACAACTGTATAGACATGAAAAAAATTGAATATCATCCAAAAAAGATGTGTACAAAAAGCTTGCAGTGATTTTAAATATAATAATAATGTTAATAAGAAAGGTTATTTTGGCTAAAGTAATGGTTTGCACGTACATTATTTCGTACCAAAATTATTTGTTTATATAATTATATATTATACTTACATTTTGTCGAACAGCTTGAACATTATTTTAAAACAGTTATGTTTTCATACAGGTAAAAGTATAATGTACCTATTTTTCAATTTTAAAAGTAGATAAATGTGTGTAGGAATGTATAATAATAATAAATTAATGTATATTTAAAATAAATCTAAATAATTATAATACATTATATGAAGTAATTATAGTCAAATTCACAAATTAAATAAAACCAAAATTTGAGACAGGAGATGTTTGGATAATTTGTTCATAATAAATTCCTAAATATGTTATTATTTTTATAAACTCTACATAGTTAATAGATTAGTAAAATAAATAAWTTTTTTCTTAAAATTATTATATAATACATTAAATAACCTAGGTATTGAAGTTAGCGATATTAGGTRAGTAAATTTATATTCGAGATGAATTCTCGATAAAAAATGTTAAGCTATTTGGCAAAAAAAACAAACTATTTTTTATCTTAAATTTATTACCTATAAACGGGCAATATAGTCGTGTGCTTCTAAAAAAAAAATTTATGTCATTTTTTAAGGAGTTTATGCGTTTTTCTTTTTAGAGCATTTTAATTTATTTATTTATTCAATATTTAAATTTATACTATCTGTTAAAAAATTTCAAATCTATACATGTAAAATCTTAACAAACAAACATTTTGCATTAAATTTCTAAGCAATAATAGCTATTCAATTGATTACAATTCTGGTGTACCTTAAAAATTTACAATTTACGCTTATTATTAATTAATGGATATTTTAGATTTAAATAAACAAACAACAAACATTATTACAACCAATACCTATACCTATTATCTATAGTTTAAATGTATATTCGGTTAAACTACACACTTTGTGTATTAAAATAAGAATAAAAATAAATACTGAAATTTTACAACTGAACTCTTATTTGAATCCACTTTTCTAATTTGCTATCATGTATACACTCAAGCACATATATTAACACAATAACCAATATTATAAAAATATAATTATTAAAGTTAAATATTTACTGTACGAAAAATCAATAATTTAGTGCGGTGAATTCRGTCAGACTAAATTATATCTATTTATTGGTTATCTGATCGATGTACAATGTAACAGAAAATACATCCAATTTATTTTTATGTATTTTAGTATACTTCTGAGTATAAATGGAACCTACCTTAATATCATTATCAATATTGTCTGTGTACACGAAGACAATTACTTCAGTACGTACATAATATTATTATATACGATGTATGTTTTATACAGTATTAAATGGATGTTGAATAGATTTACTTACCCAGAAAATAACGATATTTTTTGTAATCGACCTTCGGATTTATTTATTTTTTAGTTTTAACTGAAAAGTTACAATTCGTGTTAGCTCAAAAATGCAATATAACTGCAGGCACTACGTTAAAAATACGCATTTGAACCACACTTATTACGACTGGAATGAATACGCGATTGAATTGCAGTGTAGCGGATCATGTTGCCGATGGGATAAGCTAACGCAGACTAACGAGTATTGATGTCCAAAAAGAATGAGTTATGTTTTGTTTTACATATTATCACGTGGTTGACCCTACCACACTACAGGTTAGATATATTATATGATACGATTAAATCATCGGAGTTTGCGAATACATTAATTACTTTTATTTTGAAATATTTACATGTTTGCACGAATAATAGATCAACGTGTTTTGGAATAGAATTTTGTGAACCAATCCCAAAAATAGACGGTGTAATAACATAGTACAATATCGTGTGTCATAATAATATTGTATTCCAACTTCCAACCGTGAGCGGAACCCGGAGATTACTGGTTTTAGTGGTTTTACATTAGTCGTGCATGCATATATGCATAATATTATGTATGTATTATTTTCATTACCTCAGCCATTAAATAAGTTATTACTTACTGCATTAACAGATATATAGTAAATATTTCCTCAAATAATTCTCATTGTATCAACATATAATACAGTCGTGATGTTTCGTGGTTACAGATTAAAATAGGAAACTATTTAAATCATATTTTTTCCTTACTCAGAATAGTGACTTCCAATATCACGAGATTATTTCTTGTTCTGTTTCATAATATGGACTATTAATAGCAGTTATCATGATTTTCTGTATCTCGATTTTATGTCTTTTTCTAGTGAAGCCGGATTCAACGAATTAATAAAAAAAATATAATCACATCCTTCGCAAACACAACCAATGGTTTGGTCACTAATTTTATTGATATAATAACGTAACGACTAGGGCAGATGATAGGTATTTATAATATTTATATATATAAAAAACTAGATACTATGCAAGCACGTATGCACCCAAGAACCCTAAAATATACCCTATATTTTTTTATTAATACTTGCTGTTATGTAACTAATTATTCTGTCGACGTAATGCTCAAGCTGCAGTTCCGGCAGCGTCATCAATGACACGAACAATAAAAAAAAAAGGTACCTAATTATTATTTAAACATGATTCATTATATTGCCTAATAGATAAAAACATTTTTTTATCTAAATGAATCTAAATTTTATTTCTATTGATTAAGAAATAGTCAAATATATAGATTGATTGATAAATTTAATTTATTTGTTATTTAATTTTGTATATCTTCGTCTGTGCTGTTGAGGATATGTTTAAATTATGCAATAAAGAAATGCCGTTTTGATAATAAACGTCATTATAAAAAAATGTGGAAAACGGCCCAACAATAAAGAAATAAGGCTAAGTATATGTTTTACAAACCAAGAACGCATAAACATGCAAATTTAATATATGCAACATGAAAGTAAATATTTGAATTTGTCATAACATAAAACAAATTTGTACTTCGTTTTCCTTACGATTGAGCTAAACAAATATGAAGAAAAAATGTTAGAAGTCCTTTGTTATAAATTTATTAACAATCATATCAAATACAAACCGATTCGGCTACGGTTTACGGTGACTTGCAAATAAAACATGTCCAACGAACGCGCTTCAAGTATCCGACCGATTCACGGCATCCAAGTCTGTCCGAATCCGTGTCCGTGTGTTATGACGTAAGTTTCTGGTAGGTACCATGAAAGTTTGGCTGAAAAACTTACATCATTAAGGGAATAGATCATAATATGATGTGATATTTTTCTACAACGGTACATTTTTAATAAAAAAAACATATAAATCTGTTCTGGTAATTAGGTTCTTTATTGTGTAGGTAAAACTGATGATTTATATAATAAGAAGATGGTCATTTTAAAATGTATATAATAATATAATTCGGGTGATTAAAATATCATACATCTGTGCAAACGTGTCAAATCTCAAAAGAATAAAATCCCATTGATAAAATGTAAAATCGAAAAATAAAATTAGTGTTACACGGTCGTCTCAAAGTGTATCAGTCAGTTGGCTCTGGGCAACAGTCTGGGACCGAATAGTTTAATGCCGATCGCTCCTATGGGCGCAGTTAATAAAATGGAGATCACTGCGATGGTCACCAGTCGAGTTCCACATTCGACATCTTCCGGCGTTCCCAACTCTCTCGCCATATTCAATGCAATCGGAGCTAGAATGGCCTGCAAAAAAAAATTGGGAACGAAAAATGAGCGTGAAAATTTTATATAAAAACATATAGGTTTACTAAATACATATCGTTCACAGATAGTATAGATAATATGTACCTATATTGTTTTTGGTTAACTCGTGATCACTTACCTGTATGGTAGCCTTGGGGAGCCAAGAAATGTTGACGAATATGATTTCCTTACGACTGAATCCCGTTCCCAATACCGAACACGTAGTGACGATCATACGAACCTAAAACAGAATCATGATTATTTCAAAAGTTATTTTATTTATTGATGTATTTTTATTTATACCTAAACTACTTAATACTGTGTATTAAATTATATTTTAATATTAAAACGTTTAAAAAATCCAAAGCAACTTGATAGATTACGGGTACAGAAAAGTTAGCTATAACATCGAAGCGTTCAAAATAATTAAAAACTGTTTAAGATCTAGTTCACTGACCATACTAAAATTCGGGTTTGGGTCATGTACACGCAGTTAGCCCCTCTACTTTGTCCTACCGATTCCGGACCACTGCCAATATTTAGCAACTTTTTAGTAACTAATTGCAACTGACATAAAAAAATTTGCAACCTATTGCGTCACAGCAAAAATAATTTTTTTTATGGAGTAATTACTCAAATACTTATAAAATAAAGTATTTTAATACCACCCAAATACTATCTATAGTACAGTATTTGAAATAATTTTCAAATACAAAACAAAAATAAAAATMAAATTTAACTCTGAATCATTCATAATATATTATATTAATCGAAAATTTGAGTACCATTTTCTTAGTAATTATGTAAAGTACTAATAAGTAATAATATTTTTGTATAACAGTATCAGTAATCAGTTAATACCTATCAATGTGTATATTATATATTATATTTATAGCTTTTAATTAAAAATACGTCGTACCCGCAAATTATGTTGTCTCCGTACACTCGTAACTTCACACAGCCCCCCGATCTCATGATACAAACCTCATACTGGTGGTATAAAATTATAAACTTCGTTAAATTTGATTTTTATTTTTGTTTTGTATTTGAAAATTATTTCAAATACTGTACTATAGATAATATTTGGGTGGTATTTAAAATACTTTATTTTATACGTATTTGAGTAATTACTCCATATAAAAAATTATTTTTGCTGTGACGCAATAGGTTGCAAATTTTTTATGTCGGTTGCAATTAGTTGCTAAAAAGTTGCTAAATATTGGCAGTGGTCCGGAATCGGTAGGACAAAGTAGGGGGGCTAACTTCATGTACGTGTTTGGGTCAACTGTCTGAAAGTCGTGTGCTCGAAAATATCTATCCAAAAATAATTATTAATAAAACAAACCAACGTACTTACTAATAATAAAAAAAAAATGTATTATTATTATAAGCACTAGAAATAATATTAAAATTTATCAAATACATATTATTGTTTGTCTAAAAAAAAATATTCAAAGAATTAAATCATGTGTAATGCATTTTAAAATTTTTAACTTATACAACTTATTTTAATTAATTATACATTCTATTCTCGGCAGGTACTTAAAACTGCATCACCATAAATATTATTTGGAATGTTTATTATATATATATTTTTTATGCACATACTTTGTTCAGTAATACAGTTAAGTATTAATTGCGCAGATACGCTGCACGGTACTTTGCTTTATACCAAGCGTCTGTACGTACTGCCTGAACCAACCATAATGTATTTTAGATAAAAGAGCATTATTTTTCATCATCGATATTGGTATAGAGTATTTTGTACAACGTACATTGTTGTACTTAATACTATTCAATACTAATAATACAATAACTAAATTATATGTCTATATGGTTATAATATATACATTATACATATATAAGTACATGAAAAACCTGTGAAATGTCAGACCACGTTCTATATTCAATATTCCGATTAGATTTTATCATATCGATCATATTGATCATACATTTTTAACAAATAACACGACTGTACACGAATTTTCTAAGAGACGATTTTTCGATGACGTGAACTTTCGAACACATGACCAATTTTACACATTATACAATATTATTGTGTAACATAACATTAAGCAAAGTATTTTATTATTAATTATGCATACTACGATTCCAAGCGCGAGCACCAGTAACCCAACTAGGGCCATGTTGAAGCTCTTAAGCAGTTCAAATTTGATGTCTGTGCCCAAAAACGCGAAAACGGATGGTTGTAGACCGGCCCACGCGTATTCGAAAACCTTTTCAACCGGTTTTCCTCGGCACTGGTCCTCGTCAGCGCAATTTCCGTCCAATAAAATCACTGGATTATTAAGGTTTTGCATTTTCAATCTCCACCTCCAACCGGTACTAGCAACGAACGCTGATATGATACACGCCAAAGGACCGGCCACAGGATAACCACACCACCGGCTGCCGCTCATCGCTAAAAATCCACCAGCGCCTAGTAGGAATGACCTTTTAGCTGTTATCGATCGATTCAACTGCTATTTCGAAACACAAAAACAGCAAATCGTGTAATTATACGGTTTTAAATGTCATAATACAGACATCGTATCGTTTTAATTTTATTCGGTGCTTTGAACACCCAAGATTAAAGTGTATCTACTACCTACCTTTGGAAAATTAAATATTTCACCATATATTATTTAGAAAATAATATTAACTTGTAATAGCATGTGATATGCTGACACATTTTTTTATGTTAAATAATAAAATAATAATAACATCCTTAAAATAATAAACGAACAATTTTTATGAATAATGACTAATGGTAATTATTGGTCCATTGTTTTTTCGATATTATCATACAATATTGTATTTACAGTAAGTTGCTAGAATACGTCTATAGGATTTATACCTATACTATTGGTAAACTAAGTACTCAAAGTAAATAGCAACAATTTTGTTGATAACTGCAATACTTAGTTGAAGTATAAATCTTAAAATATAAAAAAAATTTTGAAATATAGCTAGGTTTAGACGTATAGGTTAATAGTTTAATACTATATGCAGTGGCGTAGCTTGGGAGGGCTAAGAGGGTTATAGTCTTCCCCATTGACCGTGTTGACCTTAGAATTTAATCAAGATTAAATATTAATTTTCTGCCATAACAATAGTTGAATACAAAAATAAATAAATAAATAAAAACATTTATACCTAGGTATACATATAATAGTTAATAGTGTAAATAAAAAAAATATTGTATTTGTATTTTTTGTATTTTTTTGTGAGACTTAGCCCCCCCCCCCCTATACACAGTTCCTGGCTACGCCACTGACTATATGTATTAATAAATATAAAACCTATTTCGAATAGTTTATATTTATTGATACAAAATTGAAATATCTAATTGTTATGTTAAATGTCAAAAAAGTTAAATTATTAATAATTTACCCGTGATTTTTCGGTGTTTTCTTTTTTTTGATTTTTGTATATCTTAGCCCATGGTGATGGAGGTGCAAAAATCAAAAAGAAACCCCATATGACTCCCAACGCAGTGCCCACGGATACGTCGATGAGTCCTTGAATTATTTTGCTGGTCAAACTACCTGATTTAGTAGTAATAAATGCATTCATAGTATTACACAATAAAATATTGAAATCAATGCTTTTGAATAAAAATTTAGATAATGAAACTAATCGTAACCAACTTTTAGTACTAACTTTACTACGTTTACAGCAAATATATAATTATGCAAATCAGTTAAAATKTGTATTAAATGAATTCTTTTTTTTTACATTTTATTGTTTTATATTAAACTTGGATAGTCAGACTAGCATTAAATTTATAATTTGAATACAAATATGGAACTAAATATTAAATATTAATTTTTAACTGAAAAACCAATTTATTATAATGATATACAGTATATGTACTTGTAATAAGCTGATACGTTTAAGGTTAAATATTAAATGTTAAATAAAATTGTGTTATGGTTATAGTCTATCATTGAATACTTACCTGTCAGAAATAGAACACCCAATACTATCCGAAATGCGCATATAGATACAATATTATCCAGACTTGAAGCGGCAATCAACAAAGTATTAACGCCTTTTACTTCACCATACCCCAAACGTTTCAGTTGAAATAGGCCCGGTACTAATATGGCTGGACTAACGGCAGACAGCGTAAACCTTGAAATATGTCAAAAATATTATTTTGAATCGATTCCATAAATGATGTGTAAATTCGTTTTGTCTATAGTGCTCTGGCATCCTCTTAAGACAAACATGAAACACTCATAATTATTTATAGTACTTCGGTCATGCATTGGTCATTAAAAGATAGACGATGGGGTTATAAGGAGTTCTAAACTTATGATTAGAAACATAAAAATATAAATTCTTATCTTTCTATATGTACTACGATTGACGAATCTTTCACGAATTGTTGACTAGAATTTGTCTGGAAAACGATTGGACTGTTTGCTTTGGGATATGTCTGTGAAGCTCATGAACCACTAGAAGTCGTGTCATTTGTGAACTTCACCAGAATTGTGTGTTTTTTTTTTTTTGTTAAAAATAATGGTTTTCTAATAAAACAATAAAAAAAAAATTAAATCCTTTGTACTTAATGAGACTCTCTAAACCACGAACTAAGATATCTTAGTTCGTACTCTGAACAAAATCGAATTTGAGTGCCTATAATATACATAACGTTGCAGTCTACCACAGTGCATAATACATATTATGTACGAAAATTGAGAAACCAAAAATGCGATACTATATTATATTATATTGAAATACAACAAAAATCACGATTAATAGTATTATAATATGTGCCATAATTACCCAAGAATTAAACTCCATTGCCACGAGAAGCCGGGCAAAATTAGATGTGCGGCTAGCCCCACAGTAGCGGCTTCGGCTAAGCACGGCAACAACGTGAGTCGAGCCACGACGCCGCTGAGTCGACCCAACTGATTGGCGTTCAGTTCCAGTCCACCGTTAATCAACGTCACGGCAAGTGAGACTTCTCTGGAAACGAAAAGATTAAAATCCCGCACACTATTAATGGTTAAAGGAGTAAATCAATGTACTTTACCGAAACATTTGAACAGTTTCGATTATATTTACCGAAAAAATCAAAATTTTTCATTTAATTTAATTTAATAATTGATAGATCCGTTGAATTTAAATGAACTATCAACTATGATAAAAAAAAAGCACGAATCTTAATAATTGTGAATAAAAGATGCAATATGTGAATTAAAAATATAATATGAATTTAATATTTTCTTGTATCAAAATTTAACTAATTAGGCTTTTTGAATAAATGTAAGAGTATATTTTTGTATCAAGAAGACAGCAGTTTTCAGTTATGAAGTATGATTTTTCTAAAGAACAATTTTGAATATTTCATCTCCTCTTCTTCTTCCCGCCAACACAAACTTCTGCTACAACAGCCGGACGAATGCAACCAGGAAATTATTTTTTCCACAATCTGAAAAGTACTATTTTCATCTCACCGTAATTTTAAGAAGACGTTGTATCAGAGTATATCGACTCTATCTCGACTCACGAAATGTATAATGTTAGGTACTAGGTAAGTCTATTATTCAAGGATCCGTGTAAGGTTTTTGATATTTTAATCTTGAATTAAGTAACGAGTTTTTGTGTAAATTTAAAAATGCTCATCATTACTTGTTTCAAAATTAAAACATCATAAACTCTCACAAAACTTCATCATAAATTGGTTTTATTATTACATTTATATTTGATAATAGATAAATTCATTCTAACATTAAAATAACAGAGTAAAATTTGCTAGGTAAGAGTTTCTAAGACAGAGTCAACACAATTATGTGGGTACGAAGTGCTTCTGAGAAAACGTCACACTTCCACACTATATACCCTTAATGTATTCAAGAAAATAGTTTTGCGTACGATTAACTTACGGAAATTGTTTTTTCGGTAGTTCAACCAAATTTGCATAGCGAGAAAAATGTGGTGTGGCATTTTTATAACCTAACTGCCGAATTCATTTATACATAACGTTTCATTAATTTGCTTTTTGTTAATATAAACTAGGGAGGTATCAAAACAATAATAACGGTATGACACTGATAAATTATTATCTTTGAATATGAATTTAAACTTGGTAGATCTGATCTTTATGTTAATATTTAACATGAAGGTATGCGTGTTCCATATCAAACCGCTTTTCTATAATAATGTAAGTTCATCGTTATTAGGCAAGAACCATTGATGGTGCTAACATTGGCCCACTTTTAAAATACTTATTAATTAGTTTTGAAGTATTTTAAATTCAAAATTGTATACCCTCACAAAACTTCATTAAATTTGCCTTAAATATAGTAATATTGCTATGAACGAAATAAACGTACTAGTAAAATATTTAAATAATTTTTTGTAATTTAAAATATATACTTACAATACTTTGAAAAAAAAACAATTATTTAAAGTATTTAAAATTTCTGATGGAATTTTTTTATTACAAGTAGAAAAAAGAATTTTTAATATTATTTAAAGTATTTAAAAATTAAAATTACAAATTAAAATTGGAATCTACTTCATACGTACCTACCTACCAATTTAGATTTACTCAAACAACTAACAATTTTATAGACTTGTGTTTATTTTCCATTTATTAGTCTAAACTAAGTCGATTACAGTCTAATCCATCAAATTTACGACTGGGGATCAGTCGGAACTCGAAAAAGGTCAGATTGTTAGAATATACAGAAAAATTGTATTCATACATGTCATTTGTAATGGCGTAACGCTAATAATATTTGAATGTATAAGCATTACATGTATAAATGTAAGTATGTATATCTGTGTGTGTTAGTATTTGAAAATATTTTAAATACATTTCTATTTAAGTAGTATTTGAAATGCATTTTGAAAGAAGTGTTTTCTACAATAATTATTATTTGAACAAATAATTCGATCACCTGATGAAGGATACCAGATGGGAGCACCATCCGGTGACGGTATACAGGCCGGCGTTCTGGAGTGCTATGCCGGCCAAAAGCATACCGAATCGCGGGGGCAGACCCACAATCTCGTAGATGAGCATGCCGGCCACCGTGCCGGTCACGTAAAGCAAGAATATGGACGACAGACTCCCGCCGGGCACGGCCGTCAGCGCCGGAGACACGTTCACGTACAACAGTGACCACGCTATGCCCACGCCGACGATCGCGGCCGCAACGTTGGCCGCGGTGGCCGGCAGCCAGGCGTCGCACCATGCCATGGCGGCCACGTCGCCGCCTCCGTCTAACCGCTGCTGTAGTTCGTCGCCGTCGTCGCGCCGTTGCAGCTGCAGTGGTCGCTCATCCGGTTGGTCTGCTAACTCAGCACTGTGTTGCATCTTTACTGCACCTGCCCAGTATGATGTGTGCCTGATAAATTGGTTACTTCGCTGTGCGGGTATATTGATATTTATCTAGATAAAATTGGACTTGTTTAAAAAATATTTTTATTTTTTTTTTTTATCTAGCTAGTATGTTGTATTTTTTCTAACGCCTGATCTAATATTTACATTGTATTAATGGCAACTCACTCGTAAATAGTTGTAAGACTAATGGTTAATATAGGACTCATGTAGGCGTATGTTCTATGAAACTAATTCCAAACTGAAACCAAACAGATATTAAATAAAATATATATAAATAAATATCACTAATTGTTGTAATTAATAAATCTATATGCGCTGTTCAGTATTCTACTCAGAGGAGTTTTCAATGGGGGGGGGGTTGAACATTTTGTTTTTTATCACAGGGACTTTGTCATCTTCTTTTTAAAAATATTCTTACTTACCTATCTAATCTTACAGTTCTTAACAGATAATGCATGCAATCGTTGTATATTACATGTTGACATACGATTTAAAATAGATATATTTTGTTTATTTTTTCCCTAAAAAATTTTTTTTTTATTTAGGAAATTGCTCCTGTGAGTTATATTATATATAGGAGAGAGGTGGCCACAGTGAGACACTAAAAATTACTTTTTAAATATTGTTTTTGTTTTAAGTGATAATCTTTCAACAGCGTTATGGTTTTATTCTAAATATTATTGAGCATTAAAAAACATAGTAATACATTCTACAATTTAACGAAATTTCAACCCAGATAAATTTTTTTTTTAAATGTCATAGTGTCTCACTGTGACCCAGCCTTGTACACAATGAGACACGTCACGGGGCACTATGATACATAATATAAAACCTTTTAAATTTGTAGTTTATCTTTTATATTTAAACTTTTCATTTCACAAAATTTATATAATATGATAAAACAATTAAAGAGAATTTTTTTAACAAATTTTAAAATAATTAATTGTGTTTTTGTACAATTAAAAAAATGTAGGAGTTCACTTTGTTTATTTCAATAGTTTTATGTTTAAGTTTTAAAAATTAAATAAAAATCATAACCTAATATCACTTTATTATGATCACAATTTATTTTAACAGTCTTGTTTTAGAGTTAACTGATGTCGGGTACAGCGAGACAACAGTATTTATTTGTCTCACTGTGTACTGTCTCACTGTATACCGATCTATTATTTTGCGGATTTTTTATTATACTCGTATGAATATTTAAACAATTGTGCCTGTGCATATAACTAAATTGTGCACAAGAAAAATGTAATTTATATATACTTTAAAATACGTAACTTTGAATAAAATTCGATACCAAAATTGAAAAAAACGAAGCTCACATTTTTCACGTTTTGATAACAAAAAATAACATAATGATATGTGAATATGAAAAGATGATAGTATCATTTTTGACCTGAACTTACTAATAGCACGGATATAGATACTAGTATCTATATCCGTGACTAATAGTTAACCATTATGTTTATTATGATTTTATGAATGTTCTGAATTCTCCATCTGATGGTTAAATATTAAATTAGTCGATTTATATTTAATGGATCACTGTGCCCCGTGTCTCACAGTGGCCACCTCTCCCCTAAGCACGAACGCACAAGACTACATAAGTTATTGACAGTCTTGTAAAAGATACTTTTAAAAAGTATTCAAGTACAGATACAGATACTGTTTTTCAAAAGTATTTAAAATACGTATTTGAATACTTGAAAAAAAGCATTTAAGTACAAATACAAATACTTTGAAAAAGTATTTACAGATACTTTCAAATACTTTTTTTTTTTTTTTAAATATGTTTTATCTATTTTCCTTGGCCTAACCTTATAGATAAATTGAATTATTATTTATTAATCGACTAAATTATTTTTTTTATTTTAGAACTCTAATTTTACTTAAATTAATTAGAATAAGAATAATTAAGTTAGAATAATTAAAAAGTAAGACGAAAAAAGTATTTAAAAATAGTATTTGATTTTAAATACAGATACCTTCAAAAAAGTATTAAAAAGCATTTGAATACTTTTACTCAAGTACTTTACAAGTCTGGTTATTGAGGTCATGGGGGAGGTTCACCCCCCCCGAGTACGACCCTGAGTCTACTGAAAATATTTTAAAAAACACAAATAGGCATTATGACGTTTACATTGCTTATTTATTTCGAATCAAAAATTTGTGGAATTATTGCAATACGAAAAATTCCTTTCACTTTATTAATGTTTAAAATATTATGGTTAATCATCATCACAATTTAACTAGGTAGTTTAAACTTCAATATAATATAATATAGGTTAAAATAATAATTTATGATAAACACCATTAGTAAATAAGGTTTAAGATACAATATGAAAGCCTGGAGTATAAACCATATTATTCATATTGAAATATTATTTGAAAAATTAGAAATTATAATAATTGAAAGTTCGTAATAAAACGTATACCTGCCACGTGTATCAAAGTATATTGATCGGGAGTGTTAAATTTTAAATTGTATATTATTCATCTATACTTCCGTTATGAAACAAGTTAAATTTCAGAAATTTGATAAGTTTAAAGTATTAAGCACTTAAAACGATGAAACATAAAGATGGACATTTTTGAAACAGAGGTTAAAATAATTTTCCTAATTTAAAAACGTATCTATCATACGCAATAGCAATATTAGTGTGTATACTGTATACTGGTCTGAAAGATTTAAAATATAATGTGAATGATTTATTATTATTATGTTATTATTTTATTAATAATAACTGAATATCTGAGAAAACATGTACACATTTTTTGTAGTACTTCAGACAGTAAAAACTGTCATACTAACTACTCGGTATTTTGTATGTATATATACAAAAACCATTTGGCCGAATTTACTAACCACAAAATGGTTGGTACCTATGGTAAAATAGATATTTAGAAAATCGTATAAGCTATGATATTATGGTATTGGTATACCAATATTAAACTACTATACGTACTATTAATTTTGTAATATTATATAATATTATCATACATAGTACACACGTCATTTTAATGCACTTCAACAATAATTGTTAAATTATGGCTTCCGCGTTCATACGTCACTTTTTTTTTACATATATATATTTTTAGAATGGTTACAATTTTTTTCTAACCTATTTTCACGAAATCAATTTTCGTAACTCTTTGCTTACTGTCATTGAAAATTAGAAAATCATATCAACAATAATAAATCAAAAAAAAAAAATTAACTTAATTCCTGATAAAATGTTGCATGCTACTAGATATTTATTTCCTCTACACTATACCCGTAAACATATCTATGATTCTTCAATTTTCTTTGCTGACAAAAAATATCTAATTGCATTATAATAATATAATCTACTGTAAGTTAATAACCTTGTAGTTGATGCTGTAACAATAAAAAAAATAAAAAATAATTATTATAATATAATATATGATTTTTATATCTTCATTAATTGCTCGATCGAATTAGAGCATCGAATCATACACAGAGACCACACTAAACCTTAACAAATAATACCCTTAACTAAAAAATAACTGAAATTTTATTTACTTTCTGAAGTTTCGTATTTATCATTACAGTAGGCTTCGCACATGTTTGTTGTGTGCTCCTTCATCAGTTGTCAGTACTCTTGACTCTGACAAACGATAACTATTTAGGAATGAAAAAAAAGCATTATCGTTTATTTTGTAAATAATTGTAAGCATTAATAATATTATCAGTTTAATTCGATAATATTTATGTTACTGGACATTCTTGCTCGAAAGTCAAAACGGTATTCGTATGAGCTTACACGAGTATTAATGACGGGTTAATATTACGTACACAAAGAGTGTTAGGTAGGTGTTACATTATGTCTAACTTAACCTCTATTATGCCTTTGATTAAAAAAAAACGAACACATTATTTCATCTCGTTGGGTATGAAAAGTCATATACGTAGTACGTTACACCATGTGTGTTTAAAATTCATCATCATCACCTTTCAGTAAGCGTTATTTTTACAACGACAATGAACCACAGAACCTCTATACAAAAGAGGTATATGCAATTTGCAAACATAAACAACTAAACAACTAAAAAAAAAAAACTAACTTGCAACACATCTAAAAATTAATTTTAGTAATTTGCGCCATATCATAGAACTAGATAAAAGGACATAATGTAATCCGTGCAATCCTGTACCTACAAAAATATTGTAATTTGCGCCAATTTAAAACAATAATAAATTATTATTCTTTTTTACTTATCATAAGTATTTTATTCATAAATCAAATTAATTTTATAGCTACATTTCAAGAAGAATATTACAATGTACAAACAATTTTAATTAAATTGCAAGTTAATTATAATATATTATATATTTTGCATATACATGAAACATATTTAGTTCAAAAAATAATATGATATGTAAGAATCAGGAATAACATAAATTATAATTCATTGTCAAATTGTTTTTTTATTATTAAGTTCATGTTATTTATTCACGTTTTATTCGCTATATCTAATTGATGAGAGTTCGATAAGTTTATCAGGTAAATTCCAATAATTGAAATTGATAGAGTGGCGTAGATTACCTAAATTAATATTTGCGTATGGTGTAAATTATAAGTACTAAAAGTGGTGCAAAATATATAATCTCTTCACAAAGGTGCAATCGTCCGTTCGTATTCGCTTTATACTGTGAAAAACAAATAAAAATTACGTATACTGCAAAGACGATCGACCAACGAAATATTAACAAATGATAAATGTGTACCTACCCGTTAGGTAGTTAAGAAAGTTATTATTTATTAAAAAATATATTAGATACAATGGATAATGCGACAATTATGGAAAGTTGAATTTTGTAGGTATGCGTTAAAAATTATGATATCATTTTGACGAAAAACAAAAATTAAAAACACTAGAAAGCACGATAAAATAACTGTACTTACGCCGCCGCTGCTGCCGTGACGTATAAAACTATGATGAATATCACGACGTCGTCGTATTTGGCTGTACTGGCACGAAAACCGGTCTCTCCGTCCCGCAGGTCAACTAACCAAAGCAAAAAAACGGATCCTATGATCGGGGGGAGGATCCAAGGCGGCTCGTGCACGTGGTGTTTCCGGATCGCATAATGTTATTTTTATAATTATAATAATACGATGCACACCGGTAACATATTTTCATTCTCAAACAGTCAAAATGTAATGACTATTATTATTATTGTTGCTTCATTCGCATAGGGTGCGCTGAAAATAATACTCTAGTGTGTTCATTTATAAACTTATTTTTATACTACATTGCATCAACCGTACCCCAACCTCGCAAAGTCCTCACGTGTACCGGAAATAAATTACGTAGTACTATGACGATGATATTTTTGTTTTAATATTATTACGTTATAAAAAGTAACCATAACAAGATCGGGTAAAAACGATGGATTTTGTACGCTTAAATCAGGCATTATCAATGTGATCATTTTTTAGCGTATTCAAAATTCTCTCTCTTTCTGACCCACTTGGAGCATTGAAACAACGTAATCAAGGAGTAATTTAAAAAAAAAAAAAAAAAAATGTTTTTGGTTACCTTAGATACCAGCTAATTCTTTATTACATCAATTATTATAGAAAATAAAATGTTTGGAGATATGACATATTGATTTTGTCTAAAATATATTGTGTCAAAAAAGTAAATTAAATATCCATTTAAATGTAAAACTTTGTTTTTATTTTTAAAGTCTAATATGAAGTCAAATAATAATAAAATATAAAATGTATATTAAGTGTATTTTAAAAGTTAAATTGTCGTTGATATAAATATATAATAATATCGATATTTTGAAAATATATACATTTTTAATATTTTACAATGTAATCTGTTTTTTATATAATATACGAAAAACATATTTTGTAAACAAATAAAATAAATACAGTGTAATGTAATAATGTTATTACATCGATGATATTGTTAAAAMATGAATCATTTACCTGCAATTTTACTTTACTCTCGAAAATGTTCTCTTTTATATTACCTATACAAAAAAATATATATTTTTTGTGAATTTACCTTAGATCTTGAAAAAATACCATTTCAAAGGTTTTAGTTGTGTTGAACAAACTTTTTTTTATTATTAAATTGTCGTAGGTTATGTACATTACATAATTTCTAAGATTATTATTTTTGACTTTATATAATTTTCATTTTTGTATAATTTCATATATTTGACACACAGTTTGCATTTAATTTTGAATGCTATCATTTTATATTTTACTAAAGCTTAGGAATGACAAAGATTTCTTCTGTTCAAATTTGCTGCTTAAAAAAACCTATATCATTTTAGTATATTACGGTTACTAAGAAGATTAAAAACTTAAGTAGAAATTTTAATATTTCTTGGTATACTATAATTCTGCCGACAGTTGACATATTATTTGTTTATTTAAATAAATAAATATTAGATTTTTGGTTGAAGAATAATGTATTGTATTGTTGGCTAAATATTTGAATCAAATTATCATAAATGAGTTAATCAGTCAATGCATAGATTTTTAATATTTTATTTGGAGTAGATATTACAACTACAGAAAAAAAATAACTATATAAATAATAATAAAAATAAAAAGGTTCAAATAAATCAGGTTTTTGGATTGATTTCCTACAGCAAACTGTTTACTTAATTAATATTAAATCAATAACTGTCGACGAAGTGAACTATTTATTTGTTATTATTGTAACATTTTGCCAATATTGTCTGACAAAATAAAAAACGTTACTCTCTGTAACACTCGATATTCGTTGTGCAGCTTGTGATCATTGTGTTAATCATTCGACGTAAAAATTAAAAATGGATATTAAAACGTAACAGCATTTGTCCTGTGGTAGAGTGCACTATTGTTGTCATATTATATTCTTACGATTATTGTTTGTTTTATATTTGTGTACAACAGAGACGTAGCATAAAGGTGTTTTATATTCGTATTTTAAACACCGATTAAATATGCGGTTGCTGAGTTTCTTCAATGATGATTAGAGCAGTATTTTATTTCAAACATTCTCTAACCTTTTACTGACATGTTTAATTTWAAAAAAAAAATATGGTTGGTTTTAAATTTTAATGGTGAAGTATAAATAATAATAGTTTTAATAAACACTGTTAAATGATAATAATAATTGCCTAACATGAAAAAGTCATTTATTAAAATATTATAATTTTATAGTTATATACTATTACCCTACATAAAGTTCTGAATGTAGCTTTGCCCAAACCGCTATTTCGGTAAAAATAGTCGAACAAAGAGAGTATACCGATGCCGACTTTCCTGTGAACTGAAATATAGGTACTAGCTAGGAATGAAATGCACCGTAATAGTGTCGTATTAAATATTGCTTATTTTTCCAGGGTGATTCTCTACGCATGCTCACCATTTTTTTTTCAATTATGCTGCAGTTATTCAAATTATGATTCTTAAAATTTTTAAATAGATATTAGTACCTACTTAAAGACCATATTTTCAAATTCTTGAGATTTTTTGTACTAGGTACCTACTTAAAAAGTGTCTTGTAAAAATACGGAGTTCTGGTTTTCAAATGAATTTTTTTCTTTTCTACTGTATATTATTTAAAGGATAATTTTTCAGAAATTTTGCCTTATTAGAATTAAAAATCTGCAATAATTGAAAGATTAGTTTTCGTGTAATTTTACTTCGTACTTATAGGATAATAGAAGATAATGTTCTTTCTTGACGTGAAATATTAAGGTTGGAAGATCTATTTTTTTATTGAGTTAAGGCTTCAACATCTCTGTGCATCTAAAGTTATTTAGTAAGTTTTTGACAGCGAGGTACGTTACTGTACGTACGTGTAGGTATATGTGGCCAAGATTTTTCATTAAAACCCTAGCGGTCACCCATCCTGAAACTAGTGACACCAGCTTTATGATTGACCTCAGAACAAGTTTGTGACTGAGGCCAACCATCGCACTATTATAGGTACTAGGGCCACATTATAACTATTCTATCTTCGAGATTGATAATTGTTCTCTCTCTGTCTCTCTGTCTCTCTGTCTCTCTGTGTTTTTAATGTTTTTATTTTCTTATCCTCTCTCATTGTCTCACCACACTGCGCTTGTACATGAGTGTGCGTGTGGCCTTGTAACTATTATTATACTGCTACTTTATGCATGTTATATTGCGTTTCTGTTTTGATGTAAAACCGCACACGATCGTCGCATGCGTTATCGAAAAATGTCATCTAGTTTATATTCTTTTTAACAGCGAATATCCGTTTCGGCGCCCGTTTATATCAGATGATGCGCGTATTATAATGACATGTACAACGACCATTTCCAATAAATATCTGACGTTATAGACTGAACTTAAATAATATTATACCAGAACAATAACCCACCCCTGTGCCGCCCACTGTAACGTATTCACAGCCACGCGCCGCTTTTATTTTTCCCATATAATTATTATAGACATTGGTTTCKGTTATACGATGATATACATTGTAAACGCGCATATTATATTGGGATAATATGTATGTATTTAGTGTTGAGCGTTTTTCGTTTTATCGCCACGCCGAACGTGTGAAAATCACAACAAATTTTTACGACCATCTTAACGTCGCCGCCCACACGTTGATAAAAATTGTACCAATCCATCACGTATAACTTCATCATTTCGTTCGGCCAGACGATCACACCTCAAGAACGTCTATAGACACTTATTTATATTTTTACAGGTTTATTCTTTTAATAGCAAATACTCATCATAATCTCAGAATTATAAAAAAAATAAACATTTATCATAATAAAATTTAATACACATTTTGAATAATTTATAAGACAACGTTTTTGAGAAACATGTTATATTCTTTAATATTTCACGACATCAGCTTGAATTCAAAATAATACATATACAAGGCATAACACTGTATCAAATGATGTTATAAATTCATAATTTTAATCATTTCATTTAGATTAGATATCAATTAAATACTGAGAATATTTTCCTAATTCGAATACAAAATTCTTATCACAATCCTCATTTTAAAATCAGAAATTCGAAAAAGGTATCTTTATCTATCTAGGCTATTTTTCACATCGTGTTTCTTCTCTATTTCTTCTTCTGAATTGAAATTGTAATCATTGCCGGCAATAAATAATAATGTACCATGATCCACCATCACACTAAGATTACCTCTTACATTCACTGTGATTTAATGTGATTCTATTTATCAAAGGTAATGATCATAATAATTATATAATGACATCTACTATATTACCCAACACCCATGGAAATCGGTCCAATAATCATAATGGATATTGAAAATTTGAGTTGTAACGAATTATATTTGTTGTAATTGGTTTTGGATACTGATATGCTCTTAACATTCTCTCCTTTTTCTTATATTTATTAATTTATTATGAATTATATTTTATCAGAAATTTGAATATATTATTTTGTTATTTTGTATTATTATTAATATCGTTATCATTATAATAATATACAGGTATATAAATATAATATATAATATAAGCTAAATATTATTTCAAGTCCATTTATTAGCAGTTTTTCACCTTTAAATTTTATTAATCATTTGATTGGTTTTAAGCTTGGGCTACCCGATGCATTATTGCCGCATGCGTTGGGTTTTTGTACGGACCGTTACGATTTAAATAGAACAGGCCATACGACGCGGTTTTTCCGTATGCAGCAGCAACGCACACCGTTATAATTTTAATTATATCGATCACACGACGTTGTGAAAAATCATAATTTTTCTGATTTGTCAATTTTGAATTTTAAATGTAAAAAATGTTCGACTTCGAAAAATTAATAACCGAAGTTGAGTCAAGATCTTGGTTATGGGATATTGGCTCAAATGATTATCATGATAAGTCAATGACAATTTTTCATGGAATTCTGTGGCTGCTGCTATGTACACAAATAAAACTCTCTGAGATCAACTCCTTAAGATCGTACTCCTGGTCCTCTATTAGGTAAACCATCAAACAAATAGCTTGTA